TGGTGAATATATTCAAGTGAAAAGCCTATATTTGAGTGAAACACGATAGGAGTGTAAAAATATGAAGGAGCGGGTGAGGAATATATATATTTTTCAAACTAACCAATTCTCATATTAAAAAATGTTGGAGGTAAACAACAACATAGTACCACAAAGAGGAGATAATGAAATTGTAACTCAATTACACATTATGAATTAGTTGATGGATCAAATGACCAATAAATTTAGAGATAAGTTGAATAGGTTGGAGAGGCAACATTTTAATGATCATGGTGGGGTTCAAATTAGGCCTGAACAAAGAGAATTTAATGTTATGAGAGTTGTTATGCGAGTTAACACTAATACGAATGAGTTTATGAATGATAATACATACATGAGTGATATTGATTTTGAAGATATGTCAATGAGAAACAAGGAACATTTTGGACATCAGTAACATTTTCAGTTTATAGGGAAAAGATATGGTGATAAATTTGGTTACAGGGGTAATTATAGGTATCGGGACCATAATATTGAGTTAGGTGGAGATTTGGATACAATTAAGATGAAAACATCAACTTTTAGAGAAAGAATGATAAAAAGAATTATTTAAAATAGAAGAAGAAAGTAGAATGGATTTTTTAGTGTTATAATTATTCGAAACCTAAGAAATTCAAGCTTGCTGTGACTAATTTTTTTTACTATGCCATTATGTGGTAGAATCAATTAATGACAAACCGTGGGAGAAATTATGAGAGGCAAGTCGATACTTGTGATAAGATGAAATCCATTATGATGAAAGGATTTGTGCCTAGCCACTATTATAAAGAATTGTATCAAAGGTTGCAGAATTTGAGTTAAGGTACAAAGATTGTTGATAAGAACTTTAAAAAGATGAAACTTGTTATGATTTGAGCAAATGTTGAGGAAGATATAAAAGGCTACTATAGCTAGATTCATTAATGGCCTTAATTATGATATAACTCATATCGTGGAATTGCATTATTATATGGAATTGGAGAAGATTGTGTATATGGTTGTGAAGGTGAAGAAATAACTTAAATGAAAGGGTACCCATTCAGCAAAGGCAACTATTAGGCCCTTCGAAACCTTAAAAACTTAATTAGAAGACTAATAATAAGGGATGGTCCATCACAATAGAATAAGGAGGGAAAAGGTAAACACCTTAATGAGAAGAAAGACTCATCGACCATTGTTAAAAGTAACAACGTTACTCTTACTTCTCGTAACTGTAACATTAAATTCTTTTATTGTTTGAGTTTTGGTCATATTACTTCACAGTGTCCAAACAAAAAAGTGATGACTATCAAAGTTAATAATAAGGTTGAGACCGATTAGGAGAATGAATAGGAGAAGATGTTACCATTGAAGGATGTTGATGATATTTATGGTGTATCCGGTTAAGGAAGAGATACTTGTGGTGAGAAGAGCACTGAATATGCATACCAAGGTGAATGATTCAGAAGGTCAGATAGAGAACATATTCCACATGATACGTCATGTTCATTATAAGATATGTTGCTTAATTATAAATTGTGATAGTTGCACTAGTGTAGCTAGTATTAAATTGATGAGAAAGTTGAACTTGTACACTACCAAACAACCCATAGTTTGTAAATTACAGTGGTTTAATAATGGTGGTGAAGTGTAAATGAATAAGCAGGTTTGGGTTATTTTTTATATTGGTAAATATTATGATGAGGTGTTATGTGATGTTATGTTGTACCAATGTAAACTAGTCAATTATTACTTGATAGACCATGATAGTATGTTATGAGAGTTATGCATGATAGAGTGAAAAATATGTATTCCTTTAAAATGAATGGAAGACCTATAACTTTTGTATCTTTGACACCTAAACACATATATGAGGAGCAAGTGAAATTGAAAAAGAGGAAGATTGTTGAAAAATAAGAGTTTGTCTATCAAGAAGACCTCCTTTGCTAACAAGGTTCATCTTAGTTTTAATGATAATGTTATTCTTTAGCTTAGAACTTATTTTCTGACCTTATAAGATATTTTCATTATACAAATTCGAGATCAAATCTTTTTAAATAAGAGGAGGATGATATAAATCAAGTCAAGTCCAAATTTGGCTTTAAAATATTTTTTAACCAGTTTTGCGAGATCAAACATGTCTCTCAAAATATATATCAAATTAAGATAAACTTTTACAATGAGATACTAGATACATGAAAGTATATTTCGATAAATTTTTAGGTTAAATGAAGTTTGGAAACATATTGTTTCAGAAGTTTAAAGTTACTAGATAAATCTTATCAAATCTGCTACAATAGACATTTGTGTACTGTTTGGGATATATATGGAGTTACAAGTGGAATATTGTTGCGATTCAAATTAAGCTGGCAACTAGACATCACAAAGTTTTCAACCATATATGGTAAGCTCAATAATTCATCTAGAAGAAAGAAAACGATGTGTTTGAAGTTAAAATTGAAAATATACCAAGAATGAGCGAAAGTTGGAGATTCGGGCTACATACAGGAATTTTAATATGAAGACTTTGTTTTTCTTATCCTATTTTATTTATTTATTTATTTATTAATAATTATTTTTTATTTGAATTTGTTTTGGCCCATTACATATTGTTAATGAGTTTATTTCATTACTGAACTTATTTCAGTTAATTACTAGTTTAAACTCATTAGCTTGCAACTTAAAAAGGATCCATTAATGTTAGTTGGGTTCCATTAATGTTCGTTAGATGAAACTATATTATGTTTTTTAACTGCAAAATATGGCAACAAGTTGAAGAATAAACATGAGTTTTCATTTTGTTTGTTTGTGGCAAAACAATATTTTTTTTACAGAAACAAAGATCGTATACTAACATATTCATTCATATACTTAGAGTTTTTAGATACAAGGTTATTTCTAAATCTAACTCCTTTTCCAATATGTTTAGTTCTTAAATACAAAATTACTTTTGCATACACTAACATATTCATTCATATACTTAGGGTTTTTAGATATAAGGTTATCTCTAAATCTAACTCCTTTTCCAATATATTTAGTTCTTAAATACAAAATTACTTTTGGGTTAAGATTCTATCAAACCTAACTTTTTTTTTCCAATTTTTTATCTAATGAGATGGCTACCTAACTTTTTTTTTCCAATTTTTTATCTAATGAGATGGCTACCTAACTTTTTTTTTCCAATTTTTTATCTAATGAGATGGCTTTGGTATTAAAAGATTCGCATAAATAAAGGAGGAGTTGATTTGGCACTATAGTAAAAATGGCTTCTATAACTCAAAATCTGAACACTCTGTGGCTATAGAGGTTGTTATTCCAGATTTTGGTGAGGCTGAATGAAGAAGATTATAAAATCTCAAGGTACCCCCAAAGATCAAACATTCTTTTTCGTGGAGAGCTTGCCAGGATTGCATCCCTACACAATTTCGACTCCTTCATAGGGGAACTGATTTGATGAACATGTTTCTGTTGGCAGTAGTTGGGTCTGGCTTTTAGAAACTGTTTGGAAACACGATTCAACTTAATTTTTAAAAAATTTAATTTTTTTTTTTATTCGGAAACATGATTCAACCTAATTTTCAAAAAATTTAATTTTTTTTTCTATTAAAATTTAATATAATTTATACATTTTGTATCCTTTTGAATCGTTTTAATATATTAATGTTAAAAATAATTTTAAAAAAATAAAAAAATCATTAACATATATTTTAACATGAAAAATGATTTGAAAAGCAATAACTACCACCAAATACACTTTTAATATGACCAACTGTGAATTTATAGCTACCACCAAACACACTTTTAATATGACCAACTGTGAATTTCCAACTGTGGTTCTTCACTCAATTTCATTTGCTTGATGAGGATTGGATACCGAAGGTGGGTGTAACCTCGTGGTCCATCTGGAACCAAAGGAACAATAGAATACGGAATAATGGGGCTTTAGCAGAGCATTGAGTGGTTAAGGCTGGTCTGGATTTTCGACAGAGATGGAAACTGCACAGACCACTCCCTTGTCTTCAGGATCTCGTCAGACTCCTTTGCACAAAGAGGAGAAACCTCTAGTTGGGTATCTAAAGTGTAACGTGGATGCAACTGTTCTTGAAAGGACATGGTTTCCAAATAGTATGACAGACCCCAACATTCCAGATTCCATATTCCAAATCCGATTTCATTTATTCTTTCTATCCATTTCTGGAAGTTCATTTCTTTTTTCGAAGATTCTGTCAAATTTCGTTCCAGAATACAATCTGAGGCAGTAAACTACTAGGGGATTGATGGCGGCATGGAGCCATAATTCCAAGTCAAATGAGAAGCAAAAGGTACGACATGAAATACCTAAGGAAATTCTGATAAATTTAAGGTCTGCTGCAAAGCATTTCCATACATTTTTGGATGGTAATCCAAGATTCAATACCCCAAAAACACATTGTCCAGATGAATCTACATTTGTAATCATCCTTGGCATACTTCAAACTATCAACAGCATAGACTATGAAACTAATACCACCAATCATAAACAAGAAGAGAATCAACCTAGGAAACAAATTCGTGAAATTAACTAGAAGAGATCCAAAAGTTAAAAAGAAAAGGACTTGCAGAGTAAACCGTGCTAGTACTATCATATAGAAACAAGGTAGCCGCCATTGAAGGTGTCCTCTGCTTAGATAATCCTACTAGTCAAAAGTCCAACTTGCATACAAACACAAAAACAGCTCATATTATCTTAAGTACCCATCTCCATCGGTAGCCAACACAAGTAAATTCCCACTCCCCATAATCACAACAGCATTGGACAAAGCCAGAATAACAGCATCCAATACCAAAATGGGCTGATCTGCCAATCCCAATTCATAGCTTAATTGCTTCTCCAAGAATCAAGTTTTTCCATTTAGCATCCCATAATAGGAAGAATATGACAGCACAGCGAAGTAGTAGCACCAAAGCAATTTAGTGCATAAAAAATATGGAAGAATAGGCAATAATTTCAGGTACCGTGGACATAGCAATGTATAATCTATTCTCTATTACAGAACACAGCATAAAGCTTCAGTAAGCATATGGGAGGTATGGGCTAAGTTCATCCTAGTCTTACTTTACCAGAACCTTCCCTGCTGCAAAACTGTACAAAGTCATGATAATATGTACAGAAAACAAGTAGAGAACCAATTCTTACAGCAACTATATTAGGAAACAACTAGAAACAAAGGCCAAAACCAAGACCAACAAACGACTTATGGCTTGCAGCTATAAATTCCTAATTTCTATACCCTCGTGCTGCTGCTTTCCTAGAACTGATAGAAAAACTCTGGTATTCAACTGCATGCATCCAATGAACCTGCATTTTTAATCCATCCCACCAGAAGGTCTACACATTATAGCAAAGCAAACTCCAATGGTTTCTTCCCCTCCATACTAGAGATAGATATCTAACTACAGCAAAGATTACTAATGGCCCAGATAAAAATTCCTTCGAGACACCAGTCTCAAAAACAGATTAGTGATAACTACTGGCTAAATTTAATCTAAAATTGTGTCATTTATGCGACTAAACTACAAGAGAGAAAAATGATTAAGCAACATGACAAAATAATGGCAACCAAACTGCTATAGAAATACACTAATTCACAATAGAATAATTAAACCCCAAATTGTTAAACACGGAATAAGCAAAGCAACCAAACTGTACATATAGACACGAACAAACAAATAAATATCCAATGAGAGAACATTATTCTCCTTGAATGACGCATAAAATCATCTTGAAAGAAAATAGAAAGTACATACTAACAGTTAATTGTGGATCATATCTTATCAATCTTATCTGCCTTGACAACAGGATTGGCTTTAGCAATAGCATCCTGTCCAGCACTCCTGTAATCGAACACACAGTTATGCTTGTCCGAATATCTGTGCTGCGAACAGAAAGTGTGTCCACAACGGCACTTGAACCCTGTCAAGCCCACTTTTTTCCTGCAGAAGTTGCACCTGTTTGCCACCACCACCGGCCGCTTCTCCTCTTCACCTCCTCCTTGTTGCCCTTCAACTTCTGCTGCTGCTGCTGCACTGTTCTCGGCAACATGAACTGGAACATCAATTGTTGTTGTAGTTGTGTCTTGTTGGGTTAGAAGGAATTCTTTGTAACATTTAGAGCAGAGATTATTAGTGTTGGGGCTTCCAAAAAAACAACAGTTATTCACACAAAGAATTGGTGTGTTTTGTGCCTCGTAACTGCTGCTGTCTTCTAGCTTTCTCTTTTGGGATTCTTGCTCCATGATAATAATAAAAACAAAAACAAAAAAAATCAAATTTGAGGCGAAAACAACTTTTTTCAAGAAACAGAATTGATCTGGTAAGAATATGACAATACAAGAAAAACTAGGAACCCAGAATTATATTATAGGAAAAAAAGAAAGAAGACAGCCCTTTTGAGATTGGAGATAAAACAAAAAGGAAAAGGTACGAAAAGGTAGAACAAGAAGATCTGGGAGGATATGGGTAGAGAAGTGAAGAAAACATATATATATAAAATAAAAAAACGGGAGAGAGAGATTGTGCCTTCGTGTGGTGTTGTGCGTAGTGACTTTGTGGGGTGGGTTTGGTTCATCAGAAACAGGGCAAGGAAAGAAAGGTATGGTTTTTAGTTTTTACCGACGAGATGACGTAAGAAAGGGCAGGATGCGGTCTTCATGTTTCCTCTGTAGCTTCATCAATTTATAGTTCTGAATTTCTCAATGTTACCCTCATAATTTCCAAGAAGTTCTACCCTGGTCCCTAATTTGTTAACTAACCTAACTTTTCAATATTAGCATTTGAACCATGTATTTCAGATTTTTTAGTGTTCTGTTACAATATTTTATGTGGGTTTTATAGGGAAGGGAGTGACTAAAATAAAAATATGAAAAAATTAGCATTTTGTTAGCTATTTACTTATTTTTTAATAAATTAAAGATTTTAATTTTCTTAAAAAAATTATAGAGGTAACATTAAGTAATCTTATACTACGAGGGTGGAAGTTAAACATTGATAAATTATAAGGACAAAAATAGACTACTCGGTAGGATAATATGAAACTTTCAAGTGAAGTATGTGTGTGTATAAAGTTGCAAGTACACGAGGGCAAAGATATCTTTTGTGATGATTTGCTGTCACTCACTAAAAGTCCAAGAATATTTCTTACTTTAACATAGTTTTTTTTTAATATATTTTATAAAATATTTAGAAAATTAGCATCACTAAAAGAATGGCAGATTATCTACTACTCACAAGATTACTCATATATTATATACGAGTCTCTAAATTTATAAAATGATGTACAAAAAATAAAAAAAAAAAAAAAATTAAAAAAAAAAAATTGAAAACACGTCAAAATTTTGATAATGACAATATCAATACTATAAAACAATCTTAATTTAATAAATTTAATAACACTAAAAATAATCACTAATAAAAAGAACAAAACTAAGATCCAATTTTAGTAGAGGTGAAATAATATAAGTATATAAATAAATTAATTAAGATATAAAATGTTGAAAATTATAAGTTTTTAATATAAAATTCAAAAATTCACCTATATTATAATAAGAATTATTTAACCTATCATCCTCTATCATCCTCGTAACTAACCATAAATTATTTATTTTAACAAATTAAAACATAACCATAAATTATTTATTTCATCAATTTCTCGCAATCTTTTCTAAATTACATGGAAAATTCAATTATAATTAAACAACATAATTAAATTCATTTCAATCATCATCAATATAACAACACATACTAAATATATATAATTAACAAATATTTACTTTGATTCCAAAGGTTCTCATATTCCCTCTCTTGAATGGTCAACCCTACTTTCATCATAAACACCTAATTTTCTTCTTTAATTATATTCTATTTATATCCTATCACATTCCAAAAAAGATATCATATTTTTACAATTTCACTCTTTTCCACTTTAATATCTTAAAAATTCTAATTCAAAATTTAAAAATTTTACATAAATTTTGTTAATCTTTACTGGAACTTGTATAATTGAGTTTATAACACCTTATTCGATAATGATATAAACTCCAAATATTAACCAATCAAAGTTTTTCTTCTCCTATTTTTTTCCTTTTAATGTCGTGAGTTTCCTTTCTCTACTCCATTTCCCTCATTTGATTTTTCTCTTAATATTTAAGTTAGGTGTGTTCAATATTCATTTCATTAATTCTCTTGTCTTAAATCTTGGTTTCTCTCTAGGTTTTTAGTGAAGGAACTCTTAATTTTTTTTTCTTATAATTTTATTTAACACTAGCCGACAATTTAAAAGGGAAGAAGAAGTTAAATTTCTAGTTTTCTAACTTATTTATGAAAATATCATTAATGAATCTATATATTATTTTTGGTTTTTTTGGTTCAACTATTGATATTCTCGTATGTCCTTTCAAACTTTCATTATCCTAAAGTTTTAACTTGTAGTAGATTAATGTGTTAAGAGACTTTTCATAAACTTTCATTTCAGTCCAAAAATCGAATTAAGAGTTATACTAAATAGCATAAATATGGTTAGTATGTGATTTTATGTCAAAATTTATTTTTTTTATTCAATCATTATTTGAACTATATCAGTTATTTTACTAAGTTCTCAAGACCATTTTCTTATTCCAAAATATATTTATTTTTTCTTTTCATCATTTGTTTAATTTATGGACTTACTATAGTTTTATGGTAACATTACTAATTTCTATTATAATCCCTTGAAATAATTTTGTCATTTTCAAAACACATCTATTTAAATTTTTTTTCTAATTGTTATACCCGTCAAAACCTGTTATCGGTTTCGACATGATATATACTTCATTTGAATTTTTTTTAGAAGTGTGTGTAAGTACCCACATGCTAGATCAATCCATACTAACAAAAACCGAAGTGCATCGCATGAACTGCTAAAAAATAATAAGGCTCTCTTATTTTTGAACTACTTATGTGTCCTACTCCAAAATCAAAACAACTATTATCTTAGCGGTAGGAAGCTAGATGTGAAACATTAGCGGTGCAGATCCATTTAAGAATAACTAAGATCCATTTAAGAATAACTAATATCATTGGTATTGTTATTAAAATTTCTCTTTCTCTCTCTCTCTCTTCTCTCTTTTCCTTTTAATTTGAGAAGATATATGTTATGTTTTACTAACCTACTAATTATTTTACTATTTTAGACTATTAGTGAGGGGGATTTTTTTTAATGTTATTAAACTCCACTTAACTTAATGGGTTAATATGATGTTTTTTCTGCAATATTATTAATCTTATTCAAAGCTTGATTTCATTTAAAAAAAATCAAAACAACATCGATTTAATGTTTTTACAAAAAATATTGAAATAATAACATTTTAAATTGATTTGGAAGATTAGGTTTAATAGCTTTATTTTTTTCAAAATCTACTCCTTTATTTAATTATATAATAATAAAAATAGATATGTATAAGAAAGCCACTAAATAACTACATGAAGTAAAAATATATTTTTTCTATTAAAATTATCTTTTCAAATTCATATATATTTTTCTTATTTTGACAAGAAAATAATTTTTTTATTATCATCATAATTCATTAAATAGAATGCAACAATAATAAGGGGAAGAAACTATAACAATTTCAATTAAAGGAAAAAAGTAAATTTTTAACCAAAAACTTATTTTTTTATCCAATTATTTATTTATTTTGATGCAAACATGTCATTTTTTTTTTAAGTATGGTTTGTTAAGCATACAATTATTATTAAAGAATTAAAAAAAAATCATGAGTCAATTATTTTTACAAGCCCATGTGAAAAACAAATACGAGAACAAAAAATTTCAGAAAATATATAAAAAATTAAGAAAATAGATATTTCATTCTTATTTAATATTAATGAATTTTTTTTTAATTTTTTTTTACCATGCTAATATATAATTATCCACAAAACAGTCGATGATAATATCATTGTAAAACCCCTAATATTCTTAGCAAAATGACATAATTTATTGTTAACATTATGTTTTATGAATAAAAGACAGTGACAATTCAAATAGAGGTTTAAAAAAATTTTAATCATTCAAAACAAATAAAAAAAACATACTTGTTCAATCTAAACTTCATTGTTTTATTAAAGTATCTCTTTATTTTTTTAATCAAAAGCATTTTTTTTCAAAATAAAAACTTAAAAGCAAGTTTCAATGAAAAAAATATTAAAATAATGTCCCAATATTTATATGTTATTAAAGGCAAAAATTAACAATTAATATGATAAAATATTGTAAGAAATCTTCTAAAAAAAGAAACATAAATTTTATGTTTTTAATATAAGTGAGCTTTTTTTTTGCATATTAGGTATATAATAAATAAAAAATTATTAACATTCCTATAAAACCCTATAATATTATTTAAGAATTATGAAAAATTTAAATAATAATTTAAATATCATGTTAAATATTTTATTTATAGTGTTTTTTCAATCAAAATCTAAAAAAAAAGAAGAAAATAACCTTAAAAAAAAGTCATAAGAAAGGCTTGTCATGGATAGGTTTGTAAAGAGAGGCGATACAATGGTCTTTTTAATTTATTTTTTTATGTTTAAATGTGAATAACAAGTTATCTATTTTTATATTTTTTTAATATAAAAACTAGCCAAGAGGTTTCGTTTGCTAATTTGGATTTTAAACTATAAATGTTGCTAGAAAGTATGATTTTTGTTTTTTTAAATTAAAAACCTATTTTATCTAAAAATACATAATAAATACCTTAATAATCTTCATAAACCAATTACTAACTTAAAAGCCCTATTAAATCAGTTGAAAAAAATGAAAGAAAATAAAATTATTTATATTTAACGTTGACCTAGCTCTTCAGTTAGATAAAAACTAAAAACATCCCGGCAATACTTTTTTTATTAATAAAAATCCATTGCAATTGAAATTGATTTTTTTAGTGGCTGACTAACTATTTTTTTTATTTCTAATTTTCCCACGATTCTCTCTCTCCTCCTAGATTTTAGAGGCTAAAATATAAAATAAATAAAGTTTATGATAGAAATGTATAACCTTAAAAAAGCAGGGATCAAAAATAAAAAAGTAAAAACTTTAAGAACTAAACTGCAGTTTTCCATGCAGAGAACAATAAAAAAGGGGCCATGGTTGTCTCTTTGTTTCTTCAGATTTGGCCTAGTTTTTCATTTTTTTTCAATCAATAAATCAATTAATACATTGCAAAATTAAACATTAATTTAATGACATAACATTTTTTGGCATGACAAATACTATGTAGCAGGTGAACCTTGGCACTATAAATATTGTGAATCCAAACAAATCAACAGGCTCTAGACCGTGTGATTATAAATACTGAAAAATAAAATTAAAAAAATTATTCAATAAACAAAATGAAAAATTATTTAAGAATGAGGTTAGATATATACATTGTAACGGTCATCAGTATATATATAAAAAAAATTAGATACCATGTATGATGCAATACTATGAACTTGTAGCACGCTTTAATAAAAAGAAAAAAAAATAATTTTTATAATAATTTATAATATTTTTTTATAATAATTATAAAATATTTAAGCTCTCTTTTTTACTATGGTACGATATGTTAGGATTTTGATTAATTTTTTTATTCAGTTTGAGCATGTGATTAAATTTATTACTTGTGTTTAAA